GTCCCTGATCTGATTTTTGGGGTATTACAAGGTGAACCTTGAGTTGTTTCTTTAGCCTGTAGGTGTAAGGTAGCATATTTCTAACCTTTCTTTACTACTTTTAGATCAACAAGTGTAGTTTTGGTGCATGTTTGGGTGGATGAACCATTTGTGTGCACTTGGGGGATTTAAGCATGAAAATGGGGATTTATTATTACTATTATGTAAATTAGAAGCCTTTCATGTTCATTAAGTACCAAATAAGGTTTAAACACCATTTGGGGGCATTGAGGATACTTTAGGAACGAATTGGAGGATTCTAGATGGGTGAAACAGAGTTTTCTGGGAAAAATGTATCAATATTGTACGAATAGTACTGATACTGCCGGTCATATAAGGGAAAAATTCAAAATATTTGTGAGGAGAGTATCAATACCCCATCAAAGAGTATCGATATTGCTTAAGTGGTATAGATACTCGGGGTCTAGTATTGATACTGGGGATCTTGATCAAAAACATCGAAGGCAATTGATGTGAGCACATCTATGCCAGCAAAGAAATTTGATCCGGAGGTCTTACCAACAAGATCTATCATAAGTTCTAAGGCAAAGCATTTCAGAGAAGTTCTTTCTCTTAAGTGTTTATAAATTTTAGTATCGGTACTCATGAGAGTATTGATACAGAGGGTAGAGTATCGATACTCCCTATAGGGTTATCGATACCGAGGTATTTTTTTAAAACATCGAAAGTAATTTTAGTATCTATACTCAAGGGATTATATATACTCAAGTGGGAGAGTATCGATACTCTTAGGAAATTATCGATACTAGATAAGTTCCAAAACATCGAATGCATTTTTGGTACTAATACTCGGTGAAGTATCGATACCACATGAAAGGAGTACCAATACCCAAAGAGGAGTATCAATACCATCGAGATTGTTTAGGCTATTAGCTTACCTGAGGCTAGAGGGGAAAAACTAAGGGTTTAGTGCGAGAAACCTTCTAATGAACTCATAAGTGGAGCACCTTAATTATTTGTGTGGTAACATAATATCTTAATGAGGTAAGATGCCATAAGACTTATGCCTTGTATAATGCTCGAGAAACGACGGGGACACCCTAGCCACTTGTATAACGATTATGTGGATGAACGAGGATTCTCCAAATATATCCAATCCAGTTATATCCAATCCAGTTCTTGTGCACTTTAAATTGCTAGTTGGATGTTGCATCGATGCTAAGTGACCCGGGTAAATCTATAGTGCTTTAGAGGAGTATATTAGGCAAATGAGTTCTGATGCTATGCGATTTAGACTCATTTCAAATTATAGGGAGACACTAATGTTGTGTAACCCAAGTCTCACCTAAGGTGCCTTAGTAAGAAAAGAGGGGTGTGGGTTCCGCGATGCTAAGTGACCTCAAGCTACACAATGATGCTTACTCTTGTTTGTTATGATTATATATGAAAATACTCATAACCATACTTGTAGCATGCTTGTATGTTGGATGCATATAGTAAAGTACGATTATCTGTGTGGCACTAAGCTTGTTAGCTCAACATATGAAATGTGTTTCGGTGCGTAGGTTCTTAGGTGCCATCAGAGGAGCTCGTCGCTAGGTTTAAGGATTTCCAAACTTGATCACCTATCCGAGTACATCTCGAGTATTTAGTGGGCATCTACTGTTATAAACCCTAGATATTTAATATTTGAGTCGTAAACTCTATTTTTGTACGTATGTATTTCAGATACTATTATTAGAAGCTCCCCCATATTCTAAATACTTTATTTTGCAACTGCATTATGTTTTTGTTTATGTAATGATTTGGTGGTTAATTGGTCAAATGATTTCAAAAAAATGATTAGACACTCAGGGGTTCCGTGTGACATTCTAATCATCCAAACTTCAGGTTGGATCAGATTATGGTGTTATAGAGGTCCTTAGGAGAGAGTTAGGGAAGTTTGAGACTTACACTAAAGAGGTAAAACTATTAAACCTTAAGTAGGTAGAACTTGGTTAGGATCATGCATATACATGCTGCTTATTACCACGTCTGCTAGCATGCTTATGTTTATGTGATTCATATGATGCTTTAGATTAGCTATGATACTATTGGGCTTTGTAAGTTCAGTGTTTGGATATTTTCATTCACATGTCAACAATTAAGTTGTTCATGAAACACCATCACATCAGGATTTCCAGCAGCTCTCCTAGAGTATTGTACCGTAGCTTAGTAGGAATGTGTATTCATAGGACCCTTACTTATGTATTATAATCGTAAAATTTGATTTGTATTAATTGTTTTCAACTGTGTCATGGAGCCCCGATTTCTAAAAAAAAATTATTATTATTTGAACTATTGGTTTTTAAATAATGATTATGATTATTGATTTAAAAAAATGGTTAGCCACTTTAGTGATTCTGTGTGATATTCGAATCCTTCAGACTTTGGGTCAAATCGAATTAGGGTGTTACATTTCCTCTAAACTTGGTTTTTAATTATTACATGAAGAATTAATTAATTAAACCTCAACTCATCACTAGAACTTGTATATATCTGGATCATTAAGAATGTTTCATGTTTTACCATATATCTGTTTGGCCTTTAGCATATTTTGGTAGTTTTGTAGTACTGGGTTTTCCTAAAGCTTATTCTGTTACTTACCATTTCAGGTTAAAAAGAATGATCATGTACAATTATCGACATAAAAAATGGAGTTCCTTCGTCGTTTCTTGCGAGTATGATACTCGTATAATTAAGGGGCATATAGGTTACACTTTGTTTTTATATCAGTGTTTGAAACTTGTTTTGATATTGTATGTTATTGAATTCTGTTCTAACATCAGAACAATTCTAGAACTTATGTTTTTATTTATAATTCATTTTTACAATTTTAAATTTTATTTGATAAAATTTTGTTTTTCCCATATTCTTAGCATGAGTCTCTCCGGTGGCCCTAATGTGACACCTCAAATTGAATTGAGTTACCCGTATCACTTTAATAGTGTTACAAAAAATGACAATAATATGTGTTAAAGCAACCAAATTTCACATTAAATAGCCAAAAAAACATGATCAATAATTTGTGCTGAAATATACAATATTAGATTAAGCAAAAGAGTCTAATAATATCCAGAAAAGTAAAAGCCATGAAAAAGAGAGAAAGAAAATACATCTTTGGATTGAAAATTTCTCGAATTTCCCACCCTTGAGTTTTCGTCTTCATCGGTATGAAATACTTCATCAAATTTTCGTAGCCTACTCTTTTGGGTTAATTGATGAAAGAGAGATAACAGAAGAATTATAAGGAACTATTTGATGATATAGTGACCAATTTTTTTTTTTTTAAATTTTAATGAGGAAAACAAAAAATTACTCAAATATTAGTGATTATTTGTATATTTTACCCTTTTTAATTTTATATATTCATTGTGACACGTCAGCAATCTATTAAAAATCTAACAGCAACAGTTAACCCTCAATGACTACATCTTAATTAAATAAAAACAAAAATAATCACATCTTAACTAAATAAAACCAAAAATGACCAAGTGTCATATATTTTGAATTTATTAAGAAAAATTAGATGAAACATAAACGATAGTGATCAATCATTTATTAACCCTTGTTTTTTAGGGTAAATTATACCAGAGACCACTTAACTATAGACCCTTTTCATTTTGTCCACATTTTTTGAATTCTTGTCAAACAGGTCATCCAACTATTTAAATGCACTCAATCAGGCCACTTGCCCTTAGCAGTTAACGAAAGTGCTGACGTGACAGTTAATAAAATTGGTCTAATCACACATTTAGACATTATTATTTATATATTCTATCAAATTGATCATAATTTTAAATTAATTTAATATATTTAATCCTCCAATCATGTGATGACACATGTCAAAGGTGAAAAGTGTCATTAAACGTGTCACGACATGATTAGATTTTTTAAATTATTTTTAAGATTTTAATTAAATTATATTTCCACTAATTAGGTGGTGACATGTGTCACCCCTGTTCAAAGATTCAAACCTTGGATCAAGTGGAAATCAGGCAACACCTCAACTAGCAAAGCTAAAGCCACATTTGTTATTTATTCTCAAAATGCATTAATATAATATGTGTCAAATTACGACATAAAAATAAAAATAAAAATAAAAAGGTATTCTTGGATTCGAACATGAATGATTTATAAATAATAGTGTGAGTATTTTTCAAATGTATGATTTACTTTGGATTTGTTAAATAAAAAGTTAATATAATTTTATTTTTTTAAAATATAATTTATATATAATAATAATAAAATAATTATGAGAAAAATAAAAGGAAAATAATTTAATTTAAAAAACAAAAATTTTAAATTTGTATTTTTAGTGTAAGTATTTTTCAAATCATTTACCTTAGTTGCACCTTAACGCACTTCTAATTTAAAATTTTATGTTCGAATCCAATCAATACCTTTTTTATTTTTATTTTTTGTCATAATTCGAAATATATTATATAAAACATTTTGAAAACAAGTAACAAATGTGGCCTTAACTTTGGTGGATGAGGCATAGCATTATTTCCACTTGATCCAAGGTTCCAAAATTTGACAGTGTCGCCACCTGATTGGTGGAAATATCATTTAATTAAAATATTGAAAATAATTTAAAAAACATCCAATCATATCGTGACACATGTCATGACACATTTAAAATTATGAATAATTTGATAGAATGTATAAATAGTAAGGATTAAATGTGTGTTTAGACCAATTTTATTAAATGTCATGTATGCATTTCCGTTAACTGTTAACGACAAGTGATTTGATTAAATGCATTTAAATAATTGAATGAACTGATTGAAAAGAATTCAAAAATAATGATCCAAATAAAAACGGAGTATAGTTAAGTGGTCTTTGATATAGTTTAACTTTTTTTTTAAACAACCCTTTGTTTTTTTAGAACGGATATTACTCCATAAAATTGCCAGCATTTTTTTATCCCAAAACTTTTATATATATACGGGAAACAGAGCAACTCCAGCGTCGTGGGTATTTAGGGTTTAAGGCAGACGGTTGTGGGTGCTGAGGGTGTTGGAGGTTTCTAAGACTGAAACAGTGTTTGATTTTCTTCATTTTCTGCTTCTCTTCTTCACCATGTGGGCACTACGCCGACTTCCTAAGCCGCTCAAGTACACTTCTCTTTCTCCTTTTACTTTGTATTTATATGTTTTCTGCATTTCACTTGTTTTTCCCTCTTTTTCCTCTGTGTTTGTTTACCGAGAAAACCTGCAAGGAGGAAAAGAAGGGAAGACAAATAAATTTGTGTTGTTTTGTATATACCTGCTTTATTTGGTAGAAATTAATTAACTTAAGCTGAACCCAACCAGCTCTCTGAACTTACGTTCTTGACCATTTCTTGCATGATAAATAGTTTGTGCTTGAGATTGAGATGAGAAATGGTGAAAAATGCTTGATACCATTTGGATGAGTAGATTGAATTTTGTTCAATTTTCTTATTCCCAGTTGAAGATTCTGAATTTGTTTACACCCCTAACTATCTAACAATTATAACAATCCTCTATCTTTCCATTTCTATCAGTATATTGAATCCCATACTACCCTGGAAACCAAATTGATGTATTTTCTATTTTTTTTAATACGTTCATTATTTTATTTAACTGTTGAATTATTAAATTCCAACAAAAAGTTTCATCAGTCTTCATTCTCTTTCTCTCTCTGTCTCCCTCTTTTTTTTTTAATTTGATATTAAGCTTTTGAAATTAGAAAATACAGTTTCTTTTTCGTGATTTTTTGGTTTGAATATAGTGGATCATGAATTGTTTGGCCTGGTTTCCAGGGAATCAAGGATCAGTGTTCGAGCTTCTTATGCTGTTTCTGCTCAATTGCAAACTTCAAGTTACTTCATTGAAGAAATTGCTACTATTTTTGGTTCTTGCCAAACATTATCTGATAAAGGTCTATCTTTATTGAGATTTTACCACACAAGACGTGCATCCTCTAAGTTCTCTGTTAAAAAATTTGGCCTTTCTTCCCAAGCTGGTGCTGAAAGCAGTGGGGAGGAAGATGACGTTGAAGATGGTTTTTCTGAACTTGAAACGCCTGCTAATGCTGAGACCAAAGGAGAACATATTGTTAAGGATGAAACTAAAGATGGACTGGATTCTGATCAAGAATTATCTGGTGATATTGAAGAAACTGCTTTAAATGAACTGGAATTGTTTGAGGCTGAGACGGATGTTCTTGATAAGAAGTCATCTTCACGGAGAACTAACTCGGAACTATTCAAAGCTATTATCTCTGCTCCAGGTCTTTCTATTTATAAGGCTCTTGATAAGTGGGTTGAGGAAGGAAAAAGTATTAGCAGAGATGATGTTTCTTTTGCATTTCTCAATCTTCGCAAGCGCAAAATGTATGGCAGGGCATTGCAGGTGATTTGACTTATCATTGTATCGATTTTGAGAATTTATTTTTCATTAAACTAAGGTCACTGTGTTGTGTATGAAACTACCTTCTCTGCATATAGGTGTTTATTCAATGTGATTTTAGGATTCGGATAATTTTATCAGTTGAAAAATATTTGAATAAGATTTTATAAAAAAATGTTAATTAAATTGTAAACACTGAACTTATACTGTTTGTAAGTGGAAAAGTGTAAAACTAAATATGATTTAGGCAAATCTGTGTATCCTTTTCTTCAATAAAGAAACAAAGAGAACTTTTATTGCTTTCTCTAAGTTGTGTATCTTTTTTGTCATGGTAAACATTACTTGATTGTTTGAGGTTTCATGGTTTTAGTTAAACAGTAAAGCATATCAGTTGAAACTTTTTTCAAAAAATTGAGCTGAACAAGAAATCAACTTTGTGCTGATGCTATGGTGTAAATGTGGAAACAATCAACCGCGGACTTTTGTAAGTATATGTGTAAACCCTCTTGTTAACTTGAGTACAAACCATTTCAAACAAGTAAAGATTTGGTAACCAAGCTTTACCCAACTTTGTGCTGATGCTATGGTGTAAATGTGGAAACAATCAACCGCTAGCTTTTGTAAGTATATGTGTAAACCCTCTTGTTAACTCGAGTACAAACCATTTCAAACAAGTAAAGATTTGGTAACCAGGCTTTACCCTACTTTCTTTTTGATGCAATGTTGCATGATTATATTGAAACTTTGTTTCTTGTTATTTTACCTGATGTATTAGTATATCACTTTGGGAAAGGAGTAGTCATTGTGCATTTACCAATCATGGCTGCTGGATGCATGTTTTCTCTGCACTCATCAATTGCTCTCAATTGAAAAGTACTAACCAATAGTTAGAATATATAGGTTTTCATCTAGTTGTCTAGTTGCAGGTGTTCTTGCAACAACCTTACATCCATATGATGATACTGCTAAGCCTCTGGTAGCTATTGTGATTGGAAATTTGGTTGCACAAATTTGGCACTAAAATTGTTCTGAAAACTGTGCCTTTAGTTTATGTTCTTTCTCCTTGGAATTGGCTCACTTTTCTTTCTCCTCGAGCTAGGAGACAGATGGAGATCCTCTTAAGAGAAAAGTCATTTCCCCGTTTTGGGTTTCACTTGTTTTTGGTTTGCTTGTTATTACGTAAAGGCTCAAAGAGAACTCGATTACTACTTCCTTTAAACTTGCTTGGGCTTCTAGCTTTTACAGTGCACAATTTGCAGTCTCGCAATTTCAACTGCTTAAATGGTATGGATTTTATAGTTCAGTTGATAATTTTTTTCTAATCTTAGAATGTCACCAACACCCCGTTTAGGCATCTTTGTCCTTCTCCCATTCTGCCGGCTTACTTGATATTTTTTTGAATGCCTAAATTGAAATGATATTCTATTGTGTATGGTTCTGGTTATTGGAAGTTGTAGGTTTTACTTAATTGCATTTTGTTCTTTCCTATCTGTTTGCTTACAGATTTGATTGTTTGCAGCTCTCTGAGTGGTTGGAGATGAAGAAGCAGCTTGACTTTGTTGAGAGAGATTATGCTTCTCGTCTTGATTTAATTGCCAAGGTACGGGGTCTCCAAAAGGCAGAAGACTACATTCAGACTATCCCGAAAGCTTTCAGGGGAGAGGTAATCTACAGAACCCTCCTTGCCAACTGTGTTGTTTCTAACCATTTGAAGAAAGCAGAGGAGGTCTTTAACAAAATGAAGGACTTAGAATTCCCGATTACTGCATTTGCTTGCAACCAGCTGTTACTCCTCTATAAGAGGCTTGACAAGAAAAAAATAGCTGATGTGCTGTTGTTAATGGAAAAAGAAAATGTCAAACTTTCACCCTTTACTTATAGAATCTTAATTGATACGAAAGGTTTATGTAATGACATAGCTGGGATGGATCAAATTGTCGAGACAATGAAAGCTGAAGGTCTTGAACTGGACATCCTTACACAATCCATCCTGGCTAAGCACTATGTCTCAGCTGGCCTTGCAGAAAAAGCTGAGGAAGTTTTGAAGATGATGGAAGGAGACAACATAAAGGAGAATCGTTGGGGTTGCAGGTTTTTGCTCCCTCTATATGCTGAACTTGGAAAGGCCGATGAAGTGGAAAGAATTTGGAAGGTCTGTGAATCAAACCCCCGCTTTGAAGAGTGTATGGCTGCCATTGAAGCTTGGGGAAAGGTGGGGCAAATTGAAAAATCAGAAGCAGCTTTCGATGGGCAGTTAGCAACATCAAAAAAGCTTCCTGCTAAGTGTTATACCAAGCTTTTGAAGGTCTACTCAGACCATAAGATGGTGCAAAAAGGGAAAGATCTTGTTAAACGAATGGATGATAATGGGTTGAAGATCGGGCCATTGACTTGGGATGCACTTGTGAAGCTTTATGTTGAAGCAGGGGAACTGGAAAAGGCCGACTCGATCTTGCAAAAGGCATGTCAGCAAAAGGAATCTAAGCCCTTGTTTGCTTCTTTCATGGCTGTGATGGAGCAGTATGCTAAGAGGGGTGATATCCATAATGCAGAAAAAATGTTTCATAGAATGAGGCAGTCAGGATATGTTGGTCGAATACGTCAGTTCCAATCTCTACTTGAAGCGTATAAAAATGGCAAAGCTCCTGCTTATGGGATCAGGGAGAGAATGAAAGCAGATAACATATTCCCCAATAGGTACTTAGCGGCTCAATTGGCTCAAGTTGATGCGTTCAGAAGGACTGCGGTGTCTGATTTGCTGGACTAAGGATTTCAATGGTTACTTGGCAACCTTTATTTCTATGAATAGTTATGCGTTTCATGTGGTCAAATACTGGTTGTTTAGCACTAGACATTGTATGTTCTGCTTAATTAAATTTCAAACCGTACTAAGTCTTTAAGAAATATGTTTTTTTTTCTTTAATATCCCTGAAGTGGATATATAATTGTAGCAGTTTGTTGTTAGTTCCTAAAAGATTGGTCGGCCTTTCTATGAGTTAAAGAGTTTACTATAGGTTCAGACATTCGAATAATCTAATTACCATCCATGGCAAATCTGGATCAAATATGTATTATTATCTGGAAATGGGTCAACCCCTTTTCGGCCTAGAAATCCAATAAGCCATTCAAAACAGCAATTTCGACGTCTTTGCCGAGAAAGTTGTTTCTCTCCGTCTTCTCCGGTCTTCCTCCCGTCCTCTTCAATAGCATCCTTCGAACTGAACCCCTCTTGCCGGCTTTCTTCTTTGAATGTTTTAATTCCTTGAGTTCTTGCTCGAATATTTTAGGACGTTTCGTTATTGCTCGAACATGTTAGGACGTTTTGTTAAAGAAGTAGCCTTAATAGGAGTTAAACGGTCAATTAACATGGTTGTCTTGTACCAATTCAATCGTTTTAACGTGTCAAATTAGCCTTTTATTATTCCTAATAACAATTATTAATAACGAGTGATCGATTTTTTATAAATCGATAACGTTAGTTACCAAAATATAATTTTTGAAACATTAATAGAAAAAACTTAACATCCATGATCATTTATATAGTTTATTCTATATAAAACTGTAATTCCATCTACATTTAATCAATAAAATGAATGCCCATATTTAGTAGTTTCAGACATTAAGATCCTTATTTTCACTTTTTTTTTTGTTAATAAAAAAAGATTACAATATTATGGAAAAAACCAAACACGTGTTTTTTTTTTATTTTCAAAACCTAATGTGTAAATTGGATGTTGGAGGCCATGAAAAGTCCTATCAACGTTTTATTTTGGTTGGACTACAACTCTAAAATAGTAAAACAAACATCCTAGTTTCGTGTGTCCTTTCCAAATGTTAGGGCTTTAGATGCTTTAGGAGACAAATAAAACACCCTTTGACTTAGAGAAAGAGAGAGAACATAGGAGAGATTTATGTCCTGTCAAAAGCCTTCTTTAGGTAGGGAATAAAAACCCATAGTAAAAATGTTGTAAACAAAAGACTAATGCGGGTTTTTCAACACGTAATCTTCACTTAAATATAATAATGCAAATCTCGTGCATGTTGCTCATACAGTTTATTTGTGATTAGTTATGATTCGACAACAAAAAGATTGAATTTTAGTACAAAAAGGAAAGGAGAATTGCAATACAATTTGTTCATTAAAGACGTTTTTCTGTTCAATCTTTTGGATAATTTGTTGTTTGCATCAACGAATCTCATCATTTTCTTTTCAATGTAGTCATGATTATCTTGCATATAATTGTACTTAGATTTCAATGATTAGTGTCTAGAAGAATTTGCAGAAAATGAACAAAGAGCAAAGTAGTGTTCTGAAAGCATGGGAGGCCACCATGCGCAAGACTCAAGCTGCAAAAAAACGAGCAAATAGCATTTTTGGGATAACATCTGTGGCGAACGTACCTCAAAACGACGTCCAAGGCGACGATACTGCTAAAAATGTTAGCACATCCGGGGAACCGTACTTCGCCGAGAAAATCCTTCCGAACGGGGATTATTACACGGGGCAATGGCACGATAATTTCCCCGACGGACAAGGGAAATACTTGTGGACAGACGGATGCATCTATATCGGAGAGTGGCACAAAGGCAAAACTATGGGGAGGGGAAGGTTCACCTGGCCCTCTGGTGCTAGTTATGAAGGAGAGTTCAAAACCGGATACATGGATGGAACCGGTGTATATATCGGAGCCAATGGGGATACATACAAGGGAAACTGGGTGATGAACTTGAAACATGGACATGGCACAATGCACTATTCGAACGGAGATTTGTTCGACGGCGAATGGCGTCGGGGTTTACAAGAAGGACACGGGAAATATCAATGGAAGAACAAGAACTATTACGTAGGAGAATGGAAGAACGGCGTGATTTCCGGTAAGGGGACATTCGTGTGGAGCAATGGGAACAAGTATGAAGGATTTTGGGAAGATGGTCTGCCAAAAGGAAATGGAACATATCAATGGCCTGATGGTAGTTTTTACGTAGGGAATTGGAACAAAGATCCTGATGAACAAAATGGTACATATTACCCTTCAGAATCATCTTCTTCTTCAGCTGCAGATTTCGAATGGGATCCTATGACAGTGTACAATGACTTGGCTAACAGCAAAGTCTGCCATGCAGAAAGGGTTTCGATTATGCCATCACAAAAGAGATTAGCAATGTGGTATTCAACAAAGGGTGTTGATCGGCCTAGAAGACTGTCGGTTGATGGTAGGGCAAGTGTAGGTGTAGAGAGGCCATTAGATAAGGCCAGCTTATGGGAGAATGATGGTGATGGGAATAGTTTAAGAGATTTGGATTATGAGTTGTATGATGATACAAACCCAAAGTTCAACCTTGGGTTGCCTTTGAAAGTGCCCAAACTAGGAAAAAGACAGGGGGAGACAATATCCAAAGGTCATAGGAACTACGAACTCATGCTGAATTTGCAGCTAGGGATCAGGCATTCTGTAGGAAGACCTGCACCAGCCACTGGTTTTGATCTCAAGGCTTCAGCTTTTGACCCTAAGGAGAAAATCTGGACCAGGTTTCCTCCTGAAGGTAGTAAATACACCCCACCACATCAATCTTGTGAGTTTAGATGGAAAGATTATTGTCCAGTAGTATTCAGGTTAGACATTATACAATCATCATGCATAATTAGTTTCAAGAGATTATTTCATGGGCATAATTACAAAAATTACCTTCAATGTTTGCACAAATGGTCATATTGGTCCCTACTCTTTTTTTTAGCATTTTAGCCCCCAAGGTTCTAATTTTTTGTCAAAATATTTCATGTTAGAAGGAAATCGTTAGTCGACTAACAGTCAACACATGTTGTTGACGTGGTATTTTCATGTGTTTAATTGACGACGTGACATCAATTAAGTACATATAAAAATATTACGTTAGCAACATGTATCGACCGTTAGTCAAAATAATGAGTATTTTGACTAAAAGTTGTAACGTTGGGTTAAATATTCCTAAAACAGTAAGAGTCAAAATGATAATTTATGCAAATGTTGGGGGTAATTTTGTCATTATTCCTATTTCTCGAGATTATTTCATGCCAAGTAAATTCACATTATGATTTGTGTAAAAGGACTTTGAGGAAATTGTTCAAGGTAGACCCAGCAGATTACATGATATCCATTTGTGGGAACGATGCACTGAGGGAACTATCTTCCCCTGGTAAAAGTGGAAGCTTCTTTTATCTGACAAATGATGATCGATACATGATCAAAACCATGAAAAAGTCTGAAACGAAAGTGAGTTTTTGTTTCCTCGTACCTTTTTTATAGTTTGAATCCGAAAGTCTGCAACTTTATTGATTTGTTGTACAGGTGTTTTTAAGGATGCTTTCAGCTTATTATAACCATTGCCGATCCTTTGACAATACTTTGGTAATAAAATATTACGGCTTGCACTGCGTAAAACTCACTGGCCCGGCTCAAAAAAAGGTCAGTAACTATCATTTTGTCTCTTCTAAAAATCGATAATAATTTAGCACAAAAAGCTGCAGCAAATGATAGGGTGAACGATTCAGGTACGATTCATTATTATGGGGAACCTCTTACGCTCCGACTATACAATTCATAGACGATTTGACTTGAAAGGGTCTTCTTTAGGACGCATAACAGATAAGGCCGAGTCTGAGATCGATAATACCACTATACTTAAGGATCTTGATCTCAATTTCATATTCAAACTGCAGAAATCTTGGTTTCAGGAGTTTTGTTGGTAAATATTATCCTTCTTGTACAATATTTATCTAAACTATAAGTACAATATTCATAAACGTGCCCTCTTCACAGGCAAATCGACAGGGATTGTGAGTTTCTTGAACAAGAAAGAACAATGGACTATAGTCTTTTAGTGGGTCTTCATTTTAGAGAAACATCACCTAATGGAGAGCTAGTTCCTTGCGAGGACGTTCTTCATCCGGTTATCTTTCTTCTCTTCTTAAGATTAATGGCAAAGTGTATTCTTCTAAACCCTAAGAATTGAAATACGTATTTTGCATCTTTTCAGACAATTCACAAAATGATGCAGCTCATCATCTTCCTAGAACTGATATGGACCAACTTATTCTAGACCCTAAGAGGTGAAATATAATTCCTGCTTTTGTGTCTCTATGTATCCAAGCCAACATGTGTTAATCACAACTCATGAACATTGCAGGTGGGCTAGCATCAAGCTAGGTATTAACATGCCGACGAGAGTCGAAAGAACGATAAGGAAACAGGAACTTGAACTACAACTAGTCGGAGAACGGACGGGGGAGTGTTACGAAGTTGTGATGTTCTTTGGCATCATCGATATACTTCAAGATTATGACATTACCAAAAAGCTCGAGCATGCTTATAAATCTATTCAGTATGACCCTACTTCGATATCAGCTGTGGATCCGAAACAGTACTCTAGACGATTTCGGGACTTCATTTTTAAAGTTTTTGAAGAAGACACTTAGCAGCTTTCAGCTGTGAACATGAGCAGGATGCTGTGTTCCATGAGTCTGTGGATTGAGTTAGCTATAAGCTTTGAAGTAGTAGCCATGATTACACTATTATGTAATGTAATTCTAAAGTACCAATTAGATACATTTATGGGAATGCCATGTATTTCAGTGAATATGCAGATTGCATTGTAGCTAGAAAAGTTCAAGATAATTTCCATGTGCAATCATATCCTCTTGTAAACCACTACTTTTTTCCGGCCCGTTATTTGACCCATATTTCTTTTTGACATGTTTCGACCTATTTTCAAATACCGTTTAAATAAATTATTTATTCATTTATTGAAAAAATAGTTTATCTATTTATTTATTTATCTACAAACTCAATTACAAATGGCCCAAACATTAGCCTATAGCTTCCATTATACCCAAAACTCACATGCCTACATGATTGTCTCATCAAACCTTGGAGATCCAAGACCAGAAGAATTCATGCCAGCTGTTCAAAGGAGACGCGTGTAAGAAGCACGCGTTGACGCGTAAGTGGTTCTGTTTCAAGTCATTTCAGAGAATAGCTTCTCCCCGTAAATTCCACAAATACAAAAATAAATATTTGAAAATACACTTTTTGATAAATAAAAAATTCATAACACAAAATATTTAAAAGGATTTGCAAAGAGAAAATAACCTCAGTGACTGAAAATGTCTTATAATATACGATTTTGACCAACTTTTTTTTGATTTGCCAAAATGACCAACAAAATCGCAATGCGATCTCTAAATCGCAACGCGATCTCCAGTATCACAAATTAGTTTCCAATTCGTAACGCGATTTTGACTATCGCATCGCGATTTTCCAAATTCGCGTTGCGATAATACAAAATCGCAACGCGATTCTAACTATCGCAACACTGAATTTCAAATTCGCAACAGGTTTTAGTTTCGCAACACAAATGTTTTGGGTATATAACTACGCAGCAGCAACAACTCATAACCTAAATCCCTAAATTGCAACCCATTCCATCTCCATCTATCACTCTCTCCGGTGACATCCGTTCCTATATCCAACGACATCCTATATCCAACGACATCATTCCCCATCCGGCAATAGGTTTTAGTTTCGCAGCTCGTTTGTTTAGTAAATTAATTTACAATAATGAAATCATCTAATGTTGATCATGTTTGGATAGATTTGTGTTTTGGAGGGTCATGGGAGAATGTTCATGGTGTTTTACAATATATGCCTTTACTCATGAATCTTCAACTAAAACTGTCATTAAAAAAGTTAACTTATGAAACTCTATTAGAGCCCCTAAGTGGATTTAGGCTATCTTATCAGAGAAAAGGTAAAGTTTATTTGTTAACCGACAATGAAGATGTTGAACGATTCATTGCTTACATTAGTGTTTCACAAGATGATGTTACATTGTATGTTGTTGAACCTAGAAGTAGTAAAGTTGGGTCAGTAGCGGGTAGTAATCAACTAAGTTTTTCAACCCCAATTTATGGTGCTTAAAATTTAATGGTTCCACCACAATTTCATCACCAAGCAAATTTTGTTTCACCACATTTCCAATACCAAACACAATCTCAAAACCCACAACCTTTCCCTAATCCAAATCCCAATCAACTTTCAGCACCAAATTCCGGTTTTCGTATTGACCAGTTAGACGATGATGAGCCAACAGAAAAAATTGTGAGTACTAGTTAGTATTCGAAATTTGATCTTGGTCAATACCCGGACTTTGATCTTGGTTAATACTCAGATTTTGATGATGTTTCAGAAGAAGAAACAGACCATGCGTGTAATGATTTTGATATTGGTCAATACCTGAATTTTGATGATGAAACAACCGCTGCCGAGGAAGATGTTGTTGATGATAATGAGGAGGAAGTTACGACTGTGAATGAACATGTTGAACATCCATTCTGTAATTCATATAACCCTGAAGAAGAAAAACAACAAGAAGAAATCCTCGAAGAAAATGCCACGGGAGTATAACTGGAATATGCCAGAATTACTTCAGATACCGGAAGAAGAGTTGGTAAAGATAGCAGTTGATTGTTACACAAAAATTATTCGTATCAAGAAAGATGATTGTTTTGATACAAAGGAAGACTTGAAGATAGCTTTGTATACGAAATGTGTGGAAGATGGCTATCAACTAAAAGTTAACAAATCAAGCAAAGATCGTTTCGAAACAAGGTGTATGATTGATAAAAATTGTACGCGGCGTATGATTGCAAAGAGGATAAAAGATTGCAAAATGTTTCAAGTTAGGACTTTTATTGATAAACATACATGTTCAAGAACCCAAGTTTTTCCTCACCATAGACAGGCAAACAAAAAGGTGTTGGGTGGTTTTCTGGCTGAGTTAATGTTTTTTAATGGCAGGGTATATTGGGGACATGAAATTATGACTGACATGAATGCTCGGTTTAAGATTAGTATCTCATATTCTCAAGCTTGGAGAGCCAAATGTTATGCCTTGGAATTGTTGAAGGGGTCTCCAGAAGCATTGTTTGCCCAACTGCCGGCTTATTTTCACAATTTAAAGCTGAAAAATCCTGGGTCGGTAACTCATATCAAAACAGATAGAGATGGACGCTTTGAGTTGTGTTTATCGCCATTGGTGCTGCGGTTAGTAAATCAATATAATTTTGTTGACTCATTTTTGTTAGTTACATGCATTTCACGATTAAATGATTATATTTCTTGTGTATATTATTTTGTAGATTCGTTCGTTTATTACTTGCATGCGCCCAGTTATTATAGTTGACAAAGCACATTTGAAAGGTCGATACCTTGGAGTAAACTTATTAGCAGTAGTCATAGATGCTAACAATGGGATATTGCCAATAGCTTACAGGGTTGGCAAATCTGAAACCTCTGATTCATGGACATGGTTTATGGGGCATCTTAGGGATTGCATAGGTCCTATTAGCAATCTGACAATCATATCCGATAGGGCAAACTCAATTGACAACGCTGTTAGAAGGTGTTTCCTAGATGCTTTTCATGGACTTTGTGGTGTTCATTTGTATAGAAATCTAAATTCAAGGTCTGCTAGTATAAAATATCATAAATGGACATACTGGAAAGCTGTAAAAGCTTATCGGGAAGTGGGTTTTAATAAGCATATAAATTGTTTAAGACGTGTTTTACCTCAGTGTGCTCAAACACTAGAAGATGTCAGGTTTGAAAGATGGTGAATAGTACATCAACTTGGAGCAAGATATGATTTCATGACGTCTAATAGTACAGAATCAATCAACGCTCTAAGTCGTCATTCCCGGAAATTACCCATTACTATGTTAATGGAGTTTTTTCGAGCCTCTACTCAACAGTGGTACTACAAGAAAAGAACCCATGCAGGTATTATTTCTTTAAATTCGTAACTTATCATATATTTTACTAAAGATTATTTATTTAAATTTACAAGAACATTGGAACATCGTGTTACTCCATGGACTGAAAAAAAGATAACGAAACGTGTTGTGAAGTCAACGTCATGGAGAGTTGAACCACGTTCAAACACTTTGTTTGAAGTACTGGATAATAACTTAAATGGCTTGTCGATCTAAATACAAAGACGTGTAGTTGTATGAAATGGAAAACATCTGGTTATCCATGTGGCCATGTTATAAAAGTTACTCTTCATCTAAACCAAGATGATTCAAGTGCATACGCTATGGATTGCTACACTACAGAAGTATATCGACAGACTTATACCGAGATTATCTACCCTATTCTACATCCTTCTGAGTGGGACATACCAGATGACTTACAAACAGTTTTGCCACCAGCCATGGACAGAAGGCTACCTGGCCGACCAAAAAGTCATGATCGTATACCGTCTAAGGGTGAAGAGAAGAAGAGATCGACTTGTAGTCAGTGCAAGGAAAGTGGTCATACAAGGTTGACATGTGGATCACCAGTGTCATCACAATCATCTTTTCCTCTACCAAAATATGGATCCTCATCAAAATCCAAAGCTCATATGGTGTCAAGAAAAAGGCAATCAAAATCACAATCAAAATCAAAATCCCAATCACAACTGGCTTCACCTTTTGGGACTATTAACTTAGGTGATTTTTAAATGCAAACGTTGTATTATGTGCATTTTATGTGTAAACTTTTAACATTTTCAGTTAGGCATGTATTAGTAACTTGAGTTTGAACATTGCTATGATCTGTTCAATTGTTATCACTTATTACACATTCATTTGAATATCGCAACGCGAATTTGACTATCGCAACGCAAAAATCGCAACGCGAATTTGACTATCGCAACGCGAATTTGATTATCGCAACGCGAATTTGACTATCGCAACGAGAAAATCGCAAAGCGTATTAGACTATCACAACGCGAATTGAATTTCGCGTTGCGATTTTGGCTTTCGCATTGCGATTTTGACTTTCGTATTGCGATTTTGACTTTCGTATTGTGATTTTGAGTTTAGCGTTGCGAAAGTGTACCTTCAACAGGTCTTTTGCCTTTAATATGATGCAGATTGAAATCAACAAATCAACTTTTACATTTCAATCAATTAAACAAGCACAAATAAGAATTATTTACACATCAATTAAACAAATCAACTTTTACAAATCAATTAAACAAGCAAAAAATAATAATAATTCTTATTTTCCTCATCAATTAAACAAATCAACTTTTAAGAATCAATTAAACAATCAAAAAAAGTGTACCCCAGACAGTTGTTTATGCACCCATACATCAATTTCACGTAGCTCACTTCAGGATTAACCTACAGAAACTAAACATTTGCTCAAACAACACTTTCTACACATCTAAAACCAACAAACAGCAAATTATTGAATTCTAGGTACTTAACAACACTTGCATTTGACTTACCAATTGTTTATAGACACTTTCATAACGCGGATGCAGTAGGCAGCGTCTCGCATATATCGCTTAGCCATAAAATGTCAAAACCACAAGCCTACTGCATCTCTATCTCTATCGGTGGGAGGTAGAAACTGTATACTTCTTGTCGTCAAACGCTCCAAGCACATGTATACGAGAGGGCCACAATCCCCTCTGGCTCCCTACGTTTGTTGTGGCGCGGTCTCATCTCTTATACTGTAACATTGAACTTCTTTGGTTTCTTGTTTCCAGAATAAGTCCAATAATTAATCGCATCCAAGAATTTAGCCAAATGAGAGCTCCATCCCTTAATAATATCTCTCAAATCAGACAATGATATGTAATTTATCATGTTGTCATATACTATTGTCTTCAGGGATGGGAGTTGAAGCTCGACGAGAAACCAATGATTATGTTCCAAAACAGGGATAAACACCTGCAATCATAAGTAATAATTCAATTGCGCACTTATTTATGAACGCCTTTAAAATATTTAAAAAAATAAATACTAACCTTATCGACCTCCCACCATGCAGGATAAAGTTTAGCTTGTCCATTACCCAACACATATGATTCATCTCGTTGATTCTTCAAGTGAACTACGTGGAAAGACGTCGGCATAATTGTATATCGAGTATTTTTTTTATTTTTCCTCAGTTTCCTTATTATTAGAAGACATGACACCCATGCATCAATATTTGTTTTACAAAAAAAGACATATATTAGTGAATTACATAAATTTAAAAAATATTAATCAAAATGAAATATAAGAAAAATATAAGACTTACCCCCCATCGAAATAGTCATTGTCTTCAACCCCTAATAACACACCCCACCAAGATCGATCAAGCAACAAATACATATCATCGTTGAGTTTGTATATTTCAGCGTAACATCATGTAGATAAAAATCAACTGCGGTCTTAGCCCAAAGGGTACTATCCAGAATTGTTTCCGGTAGTTTTCTCCTATCCACTTCATCTGCCGGAATGGTACTGGCCGGTAACTCATACGAAAGCCACTCATCCATCATGTCCGGCACGTGAGAGGGTTTACGTCGTGTGAATCGGGCTCTTGAATGGTGGGAGGGACCTCTTCAACGATGACAGAGGCCTCTTGAATGGTGGGAGGGGACTCTTGAGGAATGATAGGGGCCTCTTAAATGATAGGAGAGGCCTCTTGAATGATGACATGTGAGTCGGGCTTCTTCTTACGGAGTCTTCGCACTATTGGGGTGAATAGAGACGTAATGGCACGTGTACGCCGTCTGATGTGTGAACCCCGTCGTGCAAGAAAAACCCGACATAAAGCATCCACCTTATCAGGCCGCTAAAAATAAATTAATACATAAATCAGTAAATAAACAGACATGATATTAAACAGTGAAAACAAAGACAAATATGTTTCAAACTTGCACGGTATTCACCCAAGTCATTATTCTATCATAGTTCACAAAATGCATCAGATAACATTCCAGAAGTAAGCACTTATATAAACATTTAAAAGGATAACATATAGGTTTAGTGCATGTTCAAGGACAACATAAAGAGTAGTAGTTTATTCTTGAAACTTAAATTTGCAACACTGTGAAGTTAGTATTTATCTTTGTCTTTTGGTTGAAGTAATGCAATCCATTCAAGTTTCAATTTACATAAGAAGAATAGTTTCTGAAACTTAAAATCGCAACACGAAACTTAAAATCGCAACGCGAAAATGCCTATCGCAACGTGGAAATGACTATCGCAACGCGAATTTGACTATCGCAACGCGAATTTGACTATCGCAACGGGATAATCGCAATGCGAAATAAAAATCGCAACGCGAAACTAAATCCGCGTTGCGATTTTCATTTTTGCATTGCGATTTTCACGTTGCGATTTTTATTTCGCATTGTGATTATCCCATTGCGATAGTCAAATTAGCGTTGCGATAGTCATTTCCGCTTTGCGATAGTCATTTTCGCGTTGCGATTTTAAGTTTCGTGTTGCGACTATTCTTATTCTGTAAATTGAAACTTGAATGGATTGCATTACTTCAACCAAAAGACAAAACAAAGACAAATACTATTGTTATGTACTATTTGCTTTATGATTACTATTAGAAATAGTAGTAATTAAATGTATGGTATTTTGATTAATTTTCTAAAAATAGAGTTAATTGATTTGTTGTGCAATTTTGATAGCATTGGTATTACTGAGCCGCAATGTATATGTTCAAAATCATACAACTAATTGTTTAACTTTATTAATACTTTGAATCCTTTAATTAATGAAAGTTGATTAGAGTAGTTCAAAGGGCTTTAATCATTGTTAATTGCATAAAAGTAGTATACTTTGTGGACTTAAAGTGTGATTTCCATAATAACATTCTATTTGATTAGATAGCTGACTTAATGTTCTCTATAATGCTTTAGCATGACCTGGTTTCTCATACTCTGATTTTTATTTCACTTAAATAACATCTTTTACATACCTATAATTTCTTTAAATTTTAAACTCTAATGAATATCATTTTTCTCCATGTGGATACGATACTTGTAGTTATTTGAGCTACCACTTATTGCATGGGCATTGGTGTACACTAGTACTTAAGCTATAACATTTACACAACATCAAGTTTTTGGCATCGTTGTCTGGGAGCATTAATTTGGTTTAGAGTTTTATTTAATATGCACATTGTTGGTGGACGGCGATTAAGATGAGTGTCATTGAGAATAGGTCGACTTGGCTATATTTTCTAGATGTGCTTAGGCGTAAGTTTCTGAGTGCACAATATACTGACATAAGAAAAGACAAGTTTCTTGATTTGGTTCAGGGGAAGATGTCGATATCTGAGTATGAGGTGGGATTTTTCTATTTGATCAAGTATGTTAAAAATATAGTTTTGACAGAGCAGGAATGGTTTAAGAGGTTCAAGGATGGTCTTAAGAGGGATATTTATGAGTATCTGGTTACCGATTCTTCAATGGTGTTCAATACTTTGGTAGATTAGGCTAGGTATGTTGAGAGTGGCTTGGGTTATGATCTAGTTTGGGAGTTCTCTAGAAAGAGACTGGGTGATGTTAGTTCCTAGAGTCTTCAGTCGAAGAGAGGTTGAGGTTTTGATCATCATAATTCTCTTCAGAGGTAATCTGGTAAGGTAACAACTCTAGTTAGTGGGTGGCAATAGTCTTCACTCTGTTCGAATTGTGGCAAGATGCACGTAGGTAAGTGTTGGTATCTTACTGAATGTTATTTTCGATGTTGAGATGTGGGTAATCAATTACAAGGTTATCCTAAAAGGGTTGAGTTACGTGATTGTGCTCTTTTTCCTGCCATAGGAGATGAACATGCTGGTGCTAGTGGTCCGATGGGTCAGCCTCATAGTTGAGGTTGTGGTAATACGGGTACAACTGAGACAAACAGTCCTGGAAGAGTATAAGTGATCCGTGAGCCATAGGATCGTCTTCTAACAGATGTGATCGCAAGTATTTTTTTGTTAGAATATTTTCTTTTGCTTACCTTTATAGATTCTGTTTCTAAGTATTCTTATATCTTTAGTCATTTGGTGAGTTGATTTTGTAGTGACTGAGGCATTAAAAGAAAGTGCACTTGTAGATCAAGTGTATTGTAGGTTTTTCTTGGTTATTGAATGTAAGGTGTTTCCATCGGATTTGATAGAGTTGTCGTTCCATGGGTTCGATGTTATTTTGGATATGGATTCAGTTCATGAGCATTGTGTGCACTTGGATTCCGAGTTGTCTCGTTCGATCTTGAAGACGTCAGATGAAGTTGTGATCGTGATTGTTGAGAAAAGGTCGAAGTTTATTTTAAAATGTATTATTGGTGTTAGATACAAGTAAGATGTTGGGTCATGGTTGTGAGGTATTCTTGGCCTATGTTCTTACTCTGGGTGGCAGAGAGTTGCACGTATAGGATATTCAAGTGATTAAGGATTTTTCTGATGTTTTTCCTCAAAAGCTTTTGGGTTTGCCATCAGATCTTTAGGTAAAGTTTCGTATTGAGACTTATAATGATTCAACTCTATGTTTATTGTTCCATATCGTATGACACTTAAGGAGTTGAAGGATTTGACGGTGTAGTTGCAAGAGTTGTTGGATCGAGGTTTTATTCTTTCGAGTATTTCTCCGTGAGGTGCTTCAGTTTTGTTTGTTAAGAAGATAGATGGTACGATGTGCATGTGTATCGATTATCGTTAGTTGAATAAGTTAATGATCAAGAATCGATACCCCTTTTCGAGGATCAATGACTTGTTTGACCAATTTTAGGGTGCTAAGGTGTTTTCTAAGATTGACTTATATTTAGGGTTTTACCAGTTGAAGGTTAGTGAGTTGGATGTGATGAATACAACTTTCTAGACGCGTTATGCGCACTCTAAGTTCTTGGTGATGTTGTTTAGGTTAATGAATGTGACTGTTGCTTTCATGGATCTAATGAATCTTGTGTTTCATATTTATCTCAATCATTTTGTGGTGATATTTTTCGATGATATCTTGGTGTATTCATGTTCGGAGGTAGAGCATGATTCACATCTTAGAATTGTCTTACAAGTGTTGAGGGAAAAGAAGTTGTATGCGAAGTTTTCTAGGTGTGATTTTTGGTTGAGTGAGGTAGCGTTCCTTAGGCATGTTGTTTTAACTGAGGGTATTTGGGTTGATCCAAATAAGATTAAGGTGATAGCCGAGTAGAAGCAGCCTTAGAGTGTTATAGAAGTTCATAGTTTTCTTAGATTTGATGGTTATTATCATCGTTTCGTGAAAGGTTTTTCATTTATTACGACTCTTTTAACGATGTTGTTACAAAAGAATTATATGTTTGAATAGACGAAATAGATGAAGTGTAGTTTTGAGAAGTTGAAATTAGTGTTAATAGAGGCTCTTGTTTTGGTGCAACCAGTGTCAGGAAAGGATTTTGTGGTGTTTAGTGATACGTTCATTACCGGTCTTGGGTGCGTGTTGATGCAAGATGGTAAGGTGGTTGCTTATGCGTTGAGGCAATTAAAGACGTATGAACGTAACTATCCCATGCATAATTTGGAGTTGTATGTGGTAGTGTTTGCGCTAAAGATCTAGTGCCACTACTTGTATGGTAAGAGGTGTCATTTACACCAATCATAAAAGTATCAAGTATATCCTTACACAGAAGGAGTAAAATTTGAGGCAAAGGTGTTAGGTTGAGCTGTTAAAGGATTATGATTGTTCGATTGAGTATCATCTAGGTAAAGCGAACGTGGTTGTCGATGCTTTAAGTAGTAAGTCGATTGGTGAGTTGCGGGCTTTGTTTTTGAGTTTGAGCTTGTCTAAGGATGGAGCGTTAGTCACGAAATTGCAAATTAGGTCTACGTGGTTGCTACATATATGTGATTTACAATCAAGTTATAAAAAGTTGGAAGATAAGTTGCAGCTTGCAAAAGATGGTTCGTATAGTGATTTTTTCGATGAATTCTGAGGGTGTGCTATGTTTTCGTGGTAGGTTGTGTGTGCTTACGGATTCGAGTTTGAGGTGAGAAATTATTTCAGAAGCTCATAGTGGGTCATTTGTGATGTGTCTGGGTAATATGAAGATGTATCAAGATTTACGAGAGTTATATTGGTGGCCGGGATTAAAGCATGCAGTTGTTGAGTTTATGGGACGATGTTTGGTTTCCTAACATGCATGTAAAAGTCGATCGTCAGTTTCCTTTGGGTTTACTTCAGCAAATTAGTATACCATAATGGAAGTGGGAGCGTATTACAATGGATTTTATGACGGTTTTACCGTTGATGTTGTCAAAGAGGGATTCTATTTGAGTAATTGTCGATCGCTTTTCAAAGAGTGCATATTTTTTGTCACTGCGTACGACATTTTCCTTGCAAAGGTTGGTAGATTTGTATATAGAAGAGACAATATGGTTTCATGGTGTTTCTTTTTCGATTATCGAGATCCACGTTTTACGTCGAGGCTTTGGAAGAGTTTGCATAAGGCTTCAGGTTCAAGGCTTAATCGTACTGGTTATCATCCACAAGCAGATGGTCAGTCGGAGTGATTCAAGTTTTGGAAGATATTATTCGGGCTTGCGTTATAGATTTTGTTTGTTCTTGGGAGCGTTATTTTCCATTGGTAGAGTTTGCATATAATAATATTTATAAAGCGAGTATTCAGATGGCACCGTTTAAGGCATTGTATGGGCGTAAGTGTCGTACTCCTTTGTGTTGGTCTAAGTTGAGTGAGAGGTGTATTTTTGGTCCATATCTAGTTTAGGAGGTGGAAGATAAGGTTAAGTTGATTTTAGAGAGCTTAAAGGTTGCCTTTGATCGGAAGATGTCTTATGTTGATTTGAAGCATTGAGAGATTAAACATGTCGTGGGTGATTTTATGTTCTTGAAGGTTTCACCTTGGAAGAAGGTGTTTCATTTTGGGTGTAAGGGTAAGCATATATCAAGGTTTATAAGACCATATGAAGAGTTAGAGCTTGTTGGTCATGTTCTGTATCGTCATAGGTTACCACCTAACCTCGAGCATGTTCACGATGTGTTCCACGTGCCAATATTGTGTAAGTATCGATCAAATCCTTTTCATGTTGTTACGATGAACGATATTGAGGTTCGTGCTGATCTTTATATGAGGAAGAGTCGATTAAGATCTTATCTAGTGATGTGAAAGTGCTTCGAAACAAGTCTGTTTCGTTAGCTAAAGTGTTGTGACGTAACCACAATACTGAGATGGTGATGTGGGAGACAAAGGAGTTGATGAGAGGTCGGTTTTTGCAATTTTTCGATTAAGGTAATTTCATGGACGAATTTCTTTTTAGGGGAAGGAGTTGTAACGTCCTAGAGTCTGGGTCAGTAGTTTAGGGTCGGTAGTCAGATTGGGTTTCAGATTTTCAGTAAAAATATTAATATTGGAATTTTTAATCGATAAATATTTTTCTAAAATGATTTAAATAGTTTTGATTAATTTATTTTTATTTTTGGAAATTTATAATTGATTTACAAAGTGACTAAATTAAATAAATTGAAATTTTTTATTTTAGTGACTAATTTGTAAAGAGATCACAAATCAAAATATATGAAGCTAGTTTTACCAAGGCTTGTGTTTAGTGTTTTTCCCTCCAAGTTTAATTGTATCTTAATATCATTTTTGCCAATTTTTTCATCTAGATTCATTATCTTAATATTTTCTCATTTTTCATTTCTAACTTTCATTAATCGTTCCTTTCATTTTCTCTTAATCAAACATTATTGTTTTTCTCTCTAAAATTCTCTCAACATTCTCTCATGGATGAAACTCTTCTTCTTCATTTTCTATTCCTTTTTTATTGATTCTTTTTCATTTCTTCTTGATTTTCTCTTTTCAATCAAGATTGTTTCTTCTTATTTGCGTTGTGAAAAAGGCCTTTTTTCAGATGAGTCTTGATTTTGACTAAAATGGATATAGATGAGTTACCTAATCCTATGAATTAAATCTCAGTCAAATGATCTTATACTTGAAGAAGAAAAAAGAGGAAAAATAATAAAAAGAAAAAGAAAAAAAGAAAAGGAGGTTCAAGATGAAAACCTAAAAATAGGCTTCTTGGATATCCTTAGTAGCCTGACAATTAAAAGAGATGTTCTCATACTCAGATATCCTTAGTACGATCTGAATCCTCTAAACACATGTTAATCTTTAGAAAAGACTACTGGTGAGAAAATAGAATGATTCATGCGCTTGATATCAGTAGTACTTGGTTTTTGTTCTTTTTGTAATGTTTGTCTTCTCCTTAAAAAATGACTCAAAATGATTGCACCGTCCATATCTTTTGTTAATAAAATTAGTTGATTATATTTTATTTCTTATTTTCATAAGCATCATGTATATAAAATATTAATTAATAATAGTTTTCTGTATAAAAAGATTATTATGCCTTACTTTGAGAAGAGCTTAGGGTATAGGGATTTCAAAACATGTGTTTACCAAGAAAACACAAATGAATCCACCTCTTAGTAGCTCATTGTGATTGATCAGATCATGAACAATAGTGGTTTCAATCCATCAAATTATTTCATCGAATTCATCAAGATGAAAACACTCTTGACATGACCTGACCTTTAAAGTGAATTTCAATTATGGGATATATCGGGTATGATTTTAATCAATCAAGTCATTTTAAGAAGATTTGTTCTTGGCAAAGGGGCCTAGTTCTCCAAGTAAAGCAGGGAAGATAAATCAAAGGCAGTAGTAGGTCGAGTGGTCACCGTGACTAAACGTCAATAGTATAGGGACAACAACCACCAAAGCACAAATGGTAAAGAAATTTGATTTGTTATGAGTGAAGACTATCCACCAAAGGTGATGAAGTCTCGGTTTCCAGATTATGTCATATAAAACTCCAACAAACATTCATCATATCAAATTGTATTAGGTCATACTTAGGACACATTGCAATGATACATATGGAATCATAGCATATGAATTATTTTTTAGCATGATCTAGAAGATCATCTCATTACCAAAAGCAGTAGACCAATCATTTTTCAATCATGGCTAGACCTTCTCATCGCGAAGGAGCAACATCATCATCAGATTTTGACGTCGAGCAAATCAGCCAGAAACGACTAGATCTCTTCAGTACGAATGAACAATGTCATTCGCAAAAGCAAATTATCTAAAGGCAATTAGACTTTCTCAACACGAATGAACCACATTGTCTTCAAACACACGATCACTCAAATCCGACTAGACGTCCTCATCACAAAGGAACAAAGTCATTTCTAGATTCTTTACCCTCGAGCAAAGGATTCAAGTTTCAGATTCAAAATGATCATCTAGGTTGGACAAAATAGTGTCTTTGATCTTTTCCCTATTCTTGTTATATGACAAAGGGCAAAGAGAGACAATTGTAGACACTATATTTTGTTCGGGCTTTTCAATTTAAGATTATTAGATTATCTATAGTTTTAAAATTTTAATTATTTGTATTTTAATTATTATTAATATGTGAATTAAATATTAACAATGATTAAGTAAAAAAAATAAAAACTAGAACTAATACTATTTAAACATTTAGTTTTTTTAGGATACAAAAGGGATCCATTTTACAAGACCTAGCCCCCGAATAGTTGGAAAAACATATTCCAAACAAAGCTCGTATAACAAAAGCCCAAAACTATTAGGATTTCCATCATGTTTCAATCACATCACCTACTGTCAATTGTTGGATCTATGATTGATCCAACGGTCCAGATAAATAGCCATTAGGGTTTTGTAACCCTCTCCCAGCTGCCACATTTTGACACTGTTGGATCTAAAAAGATCCAACGACCTATATGCTATCTAAATTAGGGTTTCACCCTAACTAGATGTTATCTAGATTAGGGTTTCACCCTAACCAGTCAAGTCATCGTCGTCGCTCACCCTAACAAGTTAGCGCATAGGTTATTTCCACGTGGAGTTTATTGTCTTTGTAATGTTACATTTTAGTCATTAATTGCAAACTTTTATTTATTTTGTTTCGAGCTTTAAATTTCATTACTTTATATTTCAATCACTGTTTGTCTATTGATATATTTCAGTTAAATCACTAATCATGGCTAGTATTTCGGTATTTATTTTATTTTAGCCATTATGTATTTTGTTTGCATGTTGGGTTAAATATCTAATTTGATTTGTTAATTTTAGATTTATTATATTTTAATCCTTCGAGTATTGTATATAAGAAACATTTTATTTA